CCTACTGTAAGTAAGATGTATGAGATTTCCCAAGGGTTCTGACTTTTCTTCAATTTCCTGTTTTTTGTTTTTTTGGTAATTACTTAAGTAGCCAGGTTAAGATCAAATCTGACCAAGTTTGAGGACATCAAAGGGCTTCCTTGCTAAGAGCTAGGCTATTTCAGAATTATCTGGGAAGCTTAAAAAAACTGCTGAACTTAGTGTTAGGGAGTAACCACGGTGCACAGATAAGCTTAAGAAACAAGATACTTCTCATCAGTGAACTCTTCATTCCAAAAGTGCATTTTATACCCAAACTTAAATCCAATAAAAAACCAAACCAAACCTAGCTATTCATTCACTCAGCTTTGGCCTAGAGGACATAGGAAATGTTACTGAAAATTCACCCTTTCATTCAGTAGATTTACTGAGCACCAGGTAAGGGTAGGGTACCAAGTATGGACCCTGTCCACAAGAAGGCACGTGTCCAAGGCAGGACTGGGAGCCAGACCCCCTCATGGGCTACACGCCGGAGCCGTCAGTCCTGGCTGACCTTGAGCAGGTTACCTGAGCTTGCAGAGCCCAAGTCTTCCCATCAGTAAAGAATGTTAGTTACTTAATAGGCATGCTGTGACAGAGATCGCAAAGGAACTATTGAGGAAGATAAACTCTACCCTCCAAAATGGTTTCTAACTCATTTCTGGTCCAAACACTTCCATATTCTAACGGTCAGAGCTAGCACCGCCGAGCAGTTAATCTATATGCCAGGCAGGTGGCCACGCTGTCTATCCATACTTCGCACAAATGTCACCTGTAATGGCCTAGAGGGCGGCGAGTTCCCACTTTCACTGGCTGTGCTGGTTTTCAGTCCTGTAGCCAGAACAGGCAGAGCTGGCTGGACGACAAGGCCTGTAACGGGCAGCGACCCACAGTAAGAGGGCTGAGTTGGAAGCTACAGGATGTAGTAAGGCGATACCCCGCTGTGTGCACCGAGAGGTCATCACCCCTACAGAGGGTCGTGATGGCAGAACCTCTGAACAGGAAACTGCAGATAAACCCACCCAGGAACTGCCGTGGGTCTTGCGGTGCTATCTGCTATTCCTGCTGTATCTAAGGTTAACACTGCCTTGGGGAATTATTAAGTCCCAGACACTTCTGTTCGTGGATTTTACATTTAGTCCTCAACAACCAAAAGTCACTAAAATTGATATTGACCCTTTACAACTCGCAGGAGTGGAGACAAGTCAGTTACTCACCGAAAGGATGGAGCCTGAGACTCTTGTTGTGTAGCTCACAGCCAATTTAACTTCTGTTTTTTTAGGAAGATTCTTAAGGGATTCTAGATACTCCTATATGGCTAGAGTTAATAGCATCTAAATTTCTATTTCACAGGGCTAAAGGTGTTATTTTAACAGATCATGATTTCACCTCTGTAAGCAACAAGACTGAGAAGTGCCTTCCTACATTAGGCAAAGACACGTTACCTAACTTGAAATAAGTCCACCTAACTTGAAACCTTCAAGTTCCTAAGAGCATGCCTGCCCTTAGGAAATTGTAGAGGTTAAAAGCCAGTCAGCACAGCCCTGCCAAACCTCCCTTACTCCCTTGTCTATAAATGATCAAAATCAAAAGAATTCCAGCGAGTGCAAGCTTGGCACTGCGGACATTTTCCTGTTGTGGGAGGCACAGCAGCATCTCCTGACTTCTGCCCACTTAACCCCAGGACATGCCTGAGCTGTGACAACCGAAAACGCCTTGAGGTGTTGCCAAATGCCCTCCCTGATTGAGAACCACTGCCTTAGAAGACTGTACTCTATTGAGCAGAGCTACCGGTTCTGTTCTGCACGCCCAGAAACGATGGCTTTGGGTTTCTCTAGCTCACGGAAACAAAATTCATGTACTGTTTAGCTTTTGTGCCTTACTTCATAGAACTGAGATGTCTGGTCATCACGGAACTGGGAAAAATTATTTAGGCAACACAAGGCCTTACAGGGCAGCTCTGATTTATTCCTATGACTTCCCATCTGCTTGGCAACATCCTAGTTTGGACAACACCTAAGCTGATTTTCTCTCAAACAGACTGACCTGTCTCTAAAGAAGACACCAGTGGAGTGGGACAGACCCTTTACCCTGGGGTGTAACTCTAGGTCACAATGGGCCCCCACACCACCAGATGTGCCAATTCAAGTTGGAGACCACACTCTGGCTGCAAAGGCCTGGCCACAACACGAGCTGGGCAGCAGCAAGTCATTCGTTTTCTGGTTTCTTACCATTTATCCAAGTCAGGCTAGAACACTCTGCCCTTCTCCCTTGGTTAAAGAGGATGAAGTATGCCACTACCCAATCCAAATGAAAGAGAAAGCATCAATCTGCTAAGAAAAGGGTTATTACGCCCTTGCGAAGTTTAAGCAAACCACTCAGATCAGCTAGGAAAAAGTTCTGAAAAATAGGAGGCATGGTACTGACTTATCTTAAAAAGCCTTTTAAAAAGAATGACTTGAGATTATAAAGCATTTTTCAAATACACAAAGTGCTTCATAATGACTCAATAAGCTTTAAGGAATGCTTTTTCTAGTACATCACTTTTTTTGTTGTTTAAAAGAAAAATACCCCATTCAAAGGGCGGCAGCGTATTTGATACCGCCACTGTTTAAAGGGGAATGGAGTTACAGGAATGAGAACTATATGATTAGTGAATAATCCCTCTCGACAAGTGAGTTAAGTAGGAAAGCCATGAAGGGAGAAAAGAAAAGCCAGAGGCCACACAATCAGTGCACATCAGAAATGCATTTTTATTTGAAAACAACTTAAATTTTTAGACAAATGATTTTAGTATATAAATTTGATTTTGTTTTTATACAGAGTATAAAGCCTTCCCTCGTTGATCTTCCGTGTGGAGGGTTTTACAAGCTCTGCACACAGCGTGCCCCTGTCGTGGAGCGTCCTGGGAACCAGTGGCGTAGTGCTTCCACATGGGTCAGGCAAAGTGACGTCACATACTACAAGGGGGTCGAGAGAAGCAGTCTAGTTCATCAGAGTCAAGAAGCAAACATGACACAAAAATTATGCAGGTAGGACCAAGCTGGAAACTTTAGTTAGGACACGGCGGGCTACACTGAGAATGGGTCTGAGGCCACAGTGTACACCACAGAAAGACAGCAAAGCAGAGGCTATTTCTATAGGGAGACTGCAACGACGCATTTTCACTAAAGCAAATTAACTTCTTATCAACTGCCAAACAAAACCAAACGGGCTGAGCGTATGAGTGTTAGTATACTGAAGGCTGTTACCGCAGTTCTGCGCAGCATGCTAAGGGTTAGTCAGAACTTCTGCTCACTGGTGCACATGAACCATTAATAGTCACAGAAAGGTTTTTTTGGCCCTTTCACCAAATTTCAGGCATGTCTTATTTTAGATGGAGTATAGCTTTTATCTATAATTTCATCCTGTAAAAACATGTGAAGACAACGTTCATTCTGTGCCAGAGGATGACCAGCGACCCTAAGAATAAAAAACACAAATTTAGTCCAGTATTTTATAAAAGTGGGGCTGGGGGTGGGGGTCCAGACATATTTTAAGGGTAGGAAGCACGTACAGTTTAGTGAACCTCAGTGTTACTCTGGCTGCGCATAAACCTGTGATCTCACCAACTAATGCTACATCTGCTTTGCTTCAGTTTACAGGGCAGTTTAGAAGACACTTGATCACTAGCCTTGTGCTCCTTCTGACATATGTACCCAATTAGCTTCTTTAAATGTTAGTTGGTGCAGTCCTAAAGAATCCAAGTGAACTAGTGAACTTAATGTTAACAGTGAAACATGTCACTGGTTCTAAGAATTAACTTTAAAGAAGGAAAAGACAACGGATTAGACTTAGAAACACAATGAGTTCAATAAAAGTCCCAAATATCATGAAATAAATAGGTACCAGTATCTGGTTTTTGTTTATTTTTCCTTGCTGTTGAAGGTTTCCATCACAGACTAGAACACAAGGCTAGACAGGGCAAAGAGACTTAATTTCAGAATTAAGACACTGAAGCTGGCACTGCCATCTCTGAAGGAGAGTCTGCTCACGGAAAGGCGACAAAGGCTGTGCGCTCTGGCAGGTGACTACGCGTCAAAGGCTTGGCGTAACCCACCCTTCTGTTTACCCCTCATAGATCTTCACGCTACCACACTAAAACCACAGTGTCCCACTGAAGCTCACACACTTATATTCTCTTGGGCTTGACTATCTGGTCAAACTTAAGATCAACAGCAACCACAGCAGCCCTTTATGGGCACATATCTCCTTACTACTTTGGTTTTAAAAAATAGCTATATTTCCGCATTAGTTGGGGGGAGGATTTAGTAGTATGGGTAACTGTTCAACCACTGTGTATCTGAAACCAATGTAAGATTGTGTATCAATGATACTTCAATAAAAAAATGGCTATACTTCAAAGAGGAATTAAATTTAGAGGTCGAAATTTGGTTCCAGTTCAGTAAGAGTTTCTAAAGTAAAAAAAAAATCTGAAGTCTTCCTACATTTTCAAAAGAATACATTTTGCCATGAAAACTTTAAATGTGCACCTTTACATAAGACATGACTGGGAACCAGTGGCGTAGTGCTTCCACATGGGTCAGGCAAAGTGACGTCACATACTACAAGGGGGTCGAGAGAAGCAGTCTAGTTCATCAGAGTCAAGAAGCAAACATGACACAAAAATTATGCAGGTAGGACCAAGCTGGAAACTTTAGTTAGGACACGGCGGGCTACACTGAGAATGGGTCTGAGGCCACAGTGTACACCACAGAAAGACAGCAAAGGCAGAGGCTATTTCTATAGGGAGACTGCAACGACGCATTTTCACTAAAGCAAATTAACTTCTTATCAACTGCCAAACAAAACCAAACGGGCTGAGCGTATGAGTGTTAGTATACTGAAGGCTGTTACCGCAGTTCTGCGCAGCATGCTAAGGGTTAGTCAGAACTTCTGCTCACTGGTGCACATGAACCATTAATAGTCACAGAAAGGTTTTTTTGGCCCTTTCACCAAATTTCAGGCATGTCTTATTTTAGATGGAGTATAGCTTTTATCTATAATTTCATCCTGTAAAAACATGTGAAGACAACGTTCATTCTGTGCCAGAGGATGACCAGCGACCCTAAGAATAAAAAACACAAATTTAGTCCAGTATTTTATAAAAGTGGGGCTGGGGGTGGGGGTCCAGACATATTTTAAGGGTAGGAAGCACGTACAGTTTAGTGAACCTCAGTGTTACTCTGGCTGCGCATAAACCTGTGATCTCACCAACTAATGCTACATCTGCTTTGCTTCAGTTTACAGGGCAGTTTAGAAGACACTTGATCACTAGCCTTGTGCTCCTTCTGACATATGTACCCAATTAGCTTCTTTAAATGTTAGTTGGTGCAGTCCTAAAGAATCCAAGTGAACTAGTGAACTTAATGTTAACAGTGAAACATGTCACTGGTTCTAAGAATTAACTTTAAAGAAGGAAAAGACAACGGATTAGACTTAGAAACACAATGAGTTCAATAAAAGTCCCAAATATCATGAAATAAATAGGTACCAGTATCTGGTTTTTGTTTATTTTTCCTTGCTGTTGAAGGTTTCCATCACAGACTAGAACACAAGGCTAGACAGGGCAAAGAGACTTAATTTCAGAATTAAGACACTGAAGCTGGCACTGCCATCTCTGAAGGAGAGTCTGCTCACGGAAAGGCGACAAAGGCTGTGCGCTCTGGCAGGTGACTACGCGTCAAAGGCTTGGCGTAACCCACCCTTCTGTTTACCCCTCATAGATCTTCACGCTACCACACTAAAACCACAGTGTCCCACTGAAGCTCACACACTTATATTCTCTTGGGCTTGACTATCTGGTCAAACTTAAGATCAACAGCAACCACAGCAGCCCTTTATGGGCACATATCTCCTTACTACTTTGGTTTTAAAAAATAGCTATATTTCCGCATTAGTTGGGGGGAGGATTTAGTAGTATGGGTAACTGTTCAACCACTGTGTATCTGAAACCAATGTAAGATTGTGTATCAATGATACTTCAATAAAAAAATGGCTATACTTCAAAGAGGAATTAAATTTAGAGGTCGAAATTTGGTTCCAGTTCAGTAAGAGTTTCTAAAGTAAAAAAAAAATCTGAAGTCTTCCTACATTTTCAAAAGAATACATTTTGCCATGAAAACTTTAAATGTGCACCTTTACATAAGACATGCTGATAAAACCTCCACCTGCAATCAGACAAAACAACTGCAATGTACTGTTTTATTGTTTGTCAGTTTCATTGTCCGTGAGAAAGAATCCTAAGTAACACTGTGTTTTTTAAATGCTGTAATTTTAAGTGTAATTTGCATAAATTAACCAAGAAAAACAAATATAAAACTAAGGTCAACACAAAGATATTGATTTCAATCATTCACGTGTGTTAATATTTATCACATGATAACCAACTTGTTACATACTTCTACTTTGTTTAAATGATACAAAAAGTTAGTGAGGAACTGCAGTTCAGCTTAGTATCTAATCACCAGCAGTCACCTGATGTCGCCTCAGCACGCTACTCACCCTCACACCTCAAGGGGCAGAAAACACTTACTTGTTTATAAACTGCTCCAGCCCTTGCTTCCTTTCTTCAATAAAACTGTCATCAAATATTCCATCATCTCCTCTAAAAGGAAGTTGACGCAAAAAAGCCTTCCCAGGGAGCGGGGGAACTACAACCTAGAACAACACAGGGAAAGAAAGTTCTCAAACATGCTGACTGCGTCATGAAGATTTACAGTGCACAACACGAAGACCAAGTGTATCTTCACTCTGAGACCCACCCAACTATTAAACTAGTTTATAAAAGGGAATCAGTAAAAACCACACTGAAGAAAGATTCAGTGCTTTGGAGGAAAGATAACCAAATGCGAATGAGCCCATCACACCAAAGCTCAAGGGCAGGACCCATGACTTAGTTATCACTCTCCCTGGACTTACCAAAGCCCAAGAGTACGAAGCAGGCATTCAAGCCAGACTGAAGTCAAGGCTACCATGCCGGGCAGACAGTTTTAAGGCCACTTGGGAAAGACACTATTTTATTATGCTGGAAACTGCAGAGACCAAAATCGACTCTCAATTAAATGAAAAAACAAAATATTAACAATGTTCTCTCTGGCAAGGGGAGTCGAAAATTCTACGGTCATTGCTAACCATCAGGGAAATGCGAATTAAAATCACAGTAAGATACCACCTCACACCAGTTAGAATGGCCACCATCCAAAAGACAAGAAACAGCAATGCTGGCAAGGACTCGGAGAAAGGGGAAGCCCCCTGCACTGCTGGTGGGAATGTAAACTGGTAGCAACTGTTGTGGAAAGCAGTATGGAGGTTCCTCAAAAAACCAAACATAGAAATACCATTTGACCCTGTAATTCCCCTCCTAGGAATTTATCCAAAGAAAACAAGAGCCCTGATTCAAAAAGACATATGCATCCCTATGTTTATTGCTGTACAATTCACCATAGCCAAGATATGGGAGCTTTATCAATAAATGAATGGATAAAGAGGTGGTACATATATACAATGGAGTATTATTCAGCCATAAAAAGAAAAGAAATCTTACCATTTGTAACAACATTGATGGATCTAGAGGGTATTATGCTCAGTGAAATAAGCCAGGCAGAAAAAGACAAGTACCAAATGACTTCACTCATTTGTGGAGTATAAGAACGAGCAAAACTGAAGGAACAGAACAGCAGCAGACTTACAGACACCCTAGTGGTTATCAAAGGGGAGGAGATGGGGAGGAAGAAGGGGATTAAGGGGCACAATAATTCACAATCACAATACAGGCTGGTCACAGGGACAGTAGTACAGTATGCAGAAGATAGTTAGTGACTCTGGAACACCAACTATGTTGGTGCACAGTGACCGCCCTGGAGGGGGCGAGCTTGATAATACGGGTGAATGTTGAACCACTGTGTTGGGTATTTGAAACCATCATAAGATTGTGTATCAATGATACTTAAAAAAAAAAAAATTCTGTGGTCATATTCTTCAACCTCAAACCCAAATGCACTGTCGTTTCTACTTGCGTTTGAAGTGGTGACAAAATAACCAACAGTCCCACTTGTCACCACCCTCCCATTTCCTAGGCTGTTTTCCCCCAAGTCCACTATTATCTTTCCCCCAAATTCTGTCAGTTCTCTCCCACACAGTAGAAACATCTGAATTTTTCCCTTCAAAGCCCAACTATATCCTCTAGGGTCAATTTATACTGATCTCTCTCTTTTGGGAATTATCTGGAGATCAAATATTTGTTTGAATTGGATGACACCCAGCTCTTTACTTCACAGGTTAGCTTGGTTTCTCTGCATGCTCGGGCTTCTCTGCATGGCACCACTAACACTCCGAACCAGACTGTGTTTTATTGGGGGGGGGGGTCTTTGTGTGCACTGCAGAATATTCAACAGCAGCCCAGGCCTCACCCACTAGACACTTCCAGTAACACCCCTTTGTTGTGACAATAAAAACTGTCTAGGCACCGTCAAATGTCTCTTAGGGGACAAAACCACCCAACTATCCTATTAATGCCTTCAAATCAGGGGCCCTGTCTCAGGTTTCTTATGGTTATTTTAAGAAAAGTTGGTCATACAGCAGAAGCTCAAACATCTGTTGAAAGAGCAACCACTTAGCTGGATCCTCACCTAACACCAAAATAGAGAAAGGGTCTAAGCACACACCTCAAACAAGGAGAAATATAAAACAGCAAACACCAGTTATGAGATTATACAGACACTAAAATAAGTACAACTTTGAATCCTTGATGCAGTTTCTATCCTAAAATAATAATTCACAGGTAAAAAAGGGAAAGAACACAACTTCACACAGATGAGCAAAACACACAAAGCAAAAAAGAAACACAAAACCAAATGCCTAGCATGAACTTCGTGATTCCTTCTTAGATCTAGTCTCCCCAGAGGACCAATGATTGAGATTCCTAAAGATTTACCTCCATAAGTTTGCTTTAAGCATTCCGGACGCCCCTCTCCGCCATACTGGAATCTGTTGTGGTGAGAGTTAAAACCTGCGGGGACCTTGTAACTAACTGAGGGACAGATGATGGCCACTAACTGAGCTCAGGAGAATTGCTATGCGATGGGCAGGGGAAAATGCCTTTATCTATAAAGTTACTATAAAAAAAGGAATGTAGAACCAGTGAATTAAATAAATGACCACTTTTAATTCAGGGCAGAATTTAGCATAAAATTTAGAATTAAAGATTACTATGCAGTATCATCTGTAGAGATATATTCTTCCTAACATAATATTCAAAACAGTCACTGAAACAGACAGTGAGGTTGTAGGCAACAGGATGAATGACCTACAAAAATCATACACGGTTTGTCCAAATAAGATTCCAAAGCTCCTCTTCAACACCAAATTATGTTTGGTAAGCAGCCTGAAAAGATCTAATCAGAATTTCCTCACAATTTGAAAGTCATGAATCAGAAAATATGTGTATGTGGAGTGAGAAGTAAATAGGAAAATACTTGGCAAGCAAATTACAGTGAAAGAGACTAAAAGTGGAAATATTTAACCATAATGACCAGTAAACCTAACAAGTATCACCTACTTTCTAGCTTAGTGTAACAGGTATTAGTATTATATTAGTCAAAAGTATAATATATAAACAAAATACGTTAATTGTTCTTATACAACTTTTCACACAGGTTAAACCCCCAAGATATTTAATGTTAATGTTGAAAGTGAAGTAATGGGCCCCAAAGAACATCAAGTGAAAAATCACAGAATAGGAGGTTTTTGTAAATCATGTATCTGATACGGGACTTCTAAAAAAAAAATTTATTCTAGATACAATGCAATAATAAAAAGACAAAAAAAAAAAACTCAGTTAAATGGGCAAAGGACCTGAGAAAATATTTCTCCATAGAAGATACACAGCCAGTAAGTACATGAAAGAATGATCAACATCATTAGGCATTAGGGAAGTGAAATCAAAACCACAGAGATACCACTTCGCACACACTAGGACGGCCACAACGGACGACAGACAATAGTAAGTGTTGATGAGGTTGGGGAGAAAAGAGAAACGCTCATACCTTGTTGGTGGGACTGTAAAACGGTGTAGCTGCTTTGGAAAACAGTTTGGGAGTTCCTCAAAAGGTTAAACAGAGACACCAGAGGACCCAGTAAACCCACTCCTAGGTAGATACCCAAGAGAATAAAAGACATATGCCCACACAAAACCTGTACATGAATCATGACAGTCATCCTATGACAGCCAAGAAGTAGAAACAACCCAAATGTCCACCGACTGATGAATAACGTGGGGTAGATTCAGAACACAGTATTATTTGGCAGTAAAAAGAAAAGCAGCAGAAATTAGTGTCACAACAGGATGAACCTTCAAACATGCTCAGTGGAAGAAGCCACACACAAAAGATCATGTGTTGTCCACTTCTACTTATACAAAATGTCCAGAAAAGGTGAATCCATAGATAAGGTAGAACAGCGGCTGCCTGGGGCTGGGTGAGGAGCGGCTGGCGAGAAGTCAGCACGACTAGTAGTGGGTGTGGGGCTTGTTTTATGGAGTGCTTAAAATGTTAGAAATGGACTGTAGTGATGGATGCACAACTCTGTGAATATGCTAAGAACCACTGAACTGTGTACTTTAAATGGGTGAATTGTACGGCTGTGAATTATGTCAATAAAGCTATTATTTTTAAAGAAGTGATGTATACATTTGTCAAGTGCTTACCAAGCACTCCAGCATGACGACTGCCACGCTAAGCAAAGTCCAGAGCCTATCAAGACACTTCCTCCCCCTAAGTCAGGCAGGGAAAGACACGCGGTATGACGTCACTCCCAGGGAGAAGCGAAGGAGCCAAGCTCACAGAAACAGCAGTAGGTGAGTAGCTGCCAGGGGCTGGGGGTGGGAGGGGTCGGGGGACGCTGGCCAAGCAGTCAGACTTCCAGTTATAAGGAGACTGAGTCCTGGGGTGCGAGGCACAGCATGGTGACTGTGGCTAACGACCCTGTACCCTGCGCCTGTCACCCCACTTCCTCCCTACTTTCTAGCCACAAAATAACTATCTTCACTCTGAGCATACCATGCCCTTCCATGACCCTGCGCCTATGATGTCATTCTGATCTAGGGCTGAAGTAAGGGACATTAGAGTAAGACCTTGCTCTCTGTCTTGTAGCCAGAGCCACCAAATTTTCTTCTGAAAGAAGACAGTATTGCCAAGGTACATGAAAGTGCTTTAAAACTGCAGACAGCATCCCACCAGATCGCGGCCACGACTCAAAACAGTACTCGGACGAGCATCAGCACATCGCAGAGTGAGCGAGCACTGCCTCGGGGCACCCGCCACGTGCACGGCGGGGTGGTGGACACGCACTGTGAGCCAGAGGGGGGCTGGGAACACACTGGCCTAGTGCTGAGGAAGAGAAACCTGGCACGAGGTGTGGGGGGGAAATGGTAGAACAGGGAGATGGAGGAGAGGGAGGAACCCAGCGGGGGTCAGCACAGGCCTCGGTGGCCAGTGACCAGAAAGGAAGGGCTCAGAGAAAAAAACCAGACTTGGCCCGCCTCCCATGAAACAGGTGAAACTGAATTACTTGAAAAAAAGAATTCATATTTCTTTTACCCACTTTATTCAAGACGATTTTCCCGGAAGGTCTGAAACATCACGATCCAGCATGTCCAGCTTTCGAGCCGCATCACGAACCCTTTTCTTACCTTGCTCTCTCTCTCCAATTCACTCCGCAACCACTCGAAGTCGCTGTATCTTCTTCGAACGGTAGATTCCTTCAGCTTGAAAATAGGCAGGTTTGTCTGAAACAAAAAGATCACTCCTAAGGTGAAGCATGTTACAGGGACTTCAAAAGGGGGGGGTGAGGGGCGCAGGGGGTTCTTTGTCAAACCAATAATACGGCAAGCCTGGTTACCTTAAGATAAGAAAATCATAGTTATTAAGATAACATTTTACCTCTAACAAAATAAAACCCGGGTGTTAAAAAGAAAGCAAAAAAAAAAACAAAACCCACTTCACTTAACGCCAGAATAAAACTTTCAAAATGCACATCTGCTCACATGCTTTTGGGTACCATTCTGCCTGAGGTGACATTACTATAGGTCATGTTTTCTAGTTCCGTGAGCTGTAAAGAGGTGAGCAGACAAGCGTGAGACAAGGCGTGCGTGACTGCTATCCACCCAAGAACAATGCTCGCAGGGACCTCAACCCCTTGAAAATGGAAGACAAAATATTTTGTTATTGTGACTCAAATAGACGCTTCATAATGAAGGAAATGAATAAAGGATTATTCAAATTGGTCTTCTAAAAAATGCCAGAAAACAGCAGGGAAAGAGTACAATGTGCAGTGGAAGGAAATTAGGAGTCACACACATTCCACCAGGTTCACAGATTCAGAGCTTTACAGGCCAAGGGCAAATTTAAGAAATGAAAATATAACGCCCATGACTCTGACATTAAATCAGAATGGAAGACTGTTCCTTATAAGACTGCAAAGACCTCTGCCAATTTCCAAGCAACGTTAACAAGAAAGATTTCTATTATGTTCTACTGATCCCTATAAAAAGAGAAAATACACTACTAAATCCAATTTAAAATAGTTTATGATAGGACTGTTACAGAAGCTGAATCTTACACTACCAAGATTTTATTACCAAGAATAGATTTTAAAATGCACATGTCTGTAGGGGACAGTTTGTGTTAGATCATGTAAAACTCACTCTGCAGAGAATTCTAATCACGTGTTAAGTTTAGTGCTACTGCTAAATAATTTTGTCATTCACTAACAAAAGAAAAGCTTCTATTCGGGACCTTAAATCCCATTTTGTAGTGGTCTCAACTTTTCCCAAAGTGTAGTAACTTCTCCATGTTGTATACCTTATAGCTTGGAGTCTTCTACAGATGCCATTGGGCCTAACACTGTATATAGGTTTCAAGCATGAAACCAGATCTCACAAGAGATTTAAAAGTACTTGAATTTTCTTTCCCAGGTAACCACAACATTTGTTCATTGTATTAATGACTAAGAGCAAAACTGTACCTAACAAGACTCTTATTATGCTAAAAGTCAAGCTTATATTTAGAGATGCTGGCTTGCTGTACAGAGGGGTATTCTCATTCCCCACAGGGAATAAAATCAGGTCCCCTGGAGAGCAGGGTGATAATTCCCAGAAAGAAAGCACTGGATTATTTCTCTCTAATTTCACCCATTGGCTTTTTCACCAAGTTCACCCTTCCGCATTAAAATATTAAGTCTCTGTAAGTGTCTAAAGATAGAAAGGCCTTTACAGAACTGAGTGTTTTCTGCAGGTGAGATTTTACATTTTGAATTCCCTCCTCTCAAATTACTTTACAAAAGGGATTAGCTGCTCTCTTTATTCAGTATGTTAAGATCAAGCTTGTGAAAAGAGTTCCCTAAGATGCTTCATACTTCTGGGTACGGAAGTCTATAAAGTTAATCTCTGAAACAGCATATCAAGCTTACAGGCACAATGCTGAGGGAAGAGTGCCAATCCCGCTCATTTTACCTCCCATTTTCCCTTTTGAACTTCTGACACAATCATGATTAAATCTGATTCACTTTAATAGGAGGGGAGTGCAAAGGAGAAAAAGTCCATTCCTTTCTGTGATCAGCTAATGGCTTAATATATATAAAAAAAGGATCATGGTCACTTTAAGATGATTACTTAGTTTTCTCAGCTGCCTATGATTTCTCTTTACATGAGGAAGCTTTCGAGTCTGGGGAGTCACACCAAGTCGTCCTCAGTACCAACTGCCCATCGCATGCCGAGCGCCGAGCCTGCCTGTTAACTTCTTCCCGATCGTCATAAGGACTTTTGACTCAGCTTTTCAAAACACAAATGAAAAATGTTAAGGGTTTTTGTTTAAGCTGCTGAACTATTACTGTTGATTATAGACTCTTATGATTGGCCACTTTCAATGTAATTAACCCTTATAAAATGTTTTCAGTTTTCTGAAGAGAGAAAAGTAAAGGTTTTTCCCCCCCTACAGTTTTGGGCGATTCAACTATTATTACAGTTTGAGAGCATCCATTAAAAGGGCACAGGGCACAGTGCTACATAAGGTGGGGACTAGAATGATGAATCCTGGCCTTGCAGAAGCTTGTATCAGGGAAGTTAGAAGATAAACATAAAAAGTTAAACTTGTATGGTTAAAAACACCACCAAGGCCAAGAATAAATTGTAGACAAATATTTGCAACACCAAACAAAAGGACAATTTCATTAAAATGTGGAGAACTCAGAACTCAATGAAAAGCAAAGATGAGTAACGTGATGAAAGAGGAGGCAGAACACAGAAAAACTAGTGGCCGAAAATGGGCGACTCCACTCATACAGGAAAGGCTGGGTGACCCCTTTTCATTTACCCGACAGGCAGGTATCACACCTTCACCTCCAGGTATGACAGTGGTGGAGAGAAAGGCACCTGAACTGCCTCCTGGCAGCAGTGAGAACCGGGACAGCCTCCCGGGTGGGCGTTTGGTGACGTCTATCACTCTTAGATGCACGTATCTTCTGAGGCAACGACTCCACCAGGAGTGGATTCTACAGATACGTCCACATAGACACAGAGATCAGCGCATAGGAACTCCTCCAGTGTGGGGGCCCGGCCTACGGCC